ATCTACAACTAAAGATCTAGCAAGGGAAAACCGCTAGAAACTCATCCAAAAAATTCCCAGAAAAACCGACGAACATACGAAGCCCCAAGCATATTACCCAGAAAAACAAAAAAAAAAACTTTTATTTCGAACACAACAATAAATTGAAAAGCCAAGAAGACTTACTCATACTCATGATGATTAACGGAGAAGTCCTGAAAAGTCTGAGAAGAACGTCGGAATGTGAAAGGAGCGCCGGAAAGCTTAAGATGCTGTATTTGCCGGAAAAATAGAGAGTTTAGAAAGTCCGAGTGTAAAAAGTGAAGACGAGAAAAGGGCAGGAATACTTATAGGGAGAGCAGAGAAACCCTGGCCCTCAGATTAAAGACAGATTCAACGGTGGAGATGGTGCACGGAATACGAAGCGGTGGAAAGAGAAAGTGTCTTATCAATGCTCAAGACCTTATTTTTTGAATTTTGAAATTTGAAAAGATTCAGACTTATCCAATCAATTCGAAATCTGTTGAGTAGACAAGTCGTTTGATGAGTCGAAATAGCAAGCGGGCATGACTTAGAGCAACGACAGGCGACAGGATATGAGAAAAGATTCGAGTGAGACATTCAATCGTAGAAACTTACTCTTAAGCTCAGAATCGCTTCGAGTAATTTTTGGGGAGGACTAGATGTATAGCCATACTGTCGTATAACGGTTTATATGATCAACGGTTCGGAAATAACCGAGTCGACTTAGCCAAAGTCGACTCTCTTAGAAGACTCCCTATAATATCTCTGGCCAGAGGTCCAGGCATCCTTCGGTCAACTTCCACGTGTCGACTAGAATCTACCGACAACTGAAGGTGACCCCGTCGACTCGAGTGGTATCCCGAGTCGACTGAGGAAGTCCCGAGGCTCATAGATCCCCGATGATTCGATACACTTCGATATATCAGAGGAAAGTTGTAAAGGATAAGAAGGAATCTAAATGCTGACTTGGAGAGGGACGAAATGCGAACCGACCAGGGTATTTTGGAAATTTCCAGTAAGTCGGCCAAGGCATCTCGGGAACTTCAGGTAAATATCTTGTTCCTATATAAAGAAGCTGAGGTAACCCCAAAACACTAACTCCCATTCATTCCATACTCTCCTCCATTACTGCTGCTGCTCTCTCAGAGCAACTCTCTTCCTCTCTCTTACATACTGACTTGAGCGTGTTGGAACCCATGAGGATCTCGATATGCACAAATCACGGACAAACATTCAACATAAACCTATGCGCAGCGGATCTAAAGGTTTGATGAAGAAAACATACTGCTTCAAATTTATGTAGATCTGGCTGACCCGGACAGATGACCGCAAATCAAATCTTCTCGGAATCGAACAAACTTGACCAATCCAGAAAGCTGACGTCACGGCGAAGTCAACGGCGTTAACCGATCGGAAATCAGAGGAGTCACGCACTCTCACGCGCGTCTACAAGCTCCAGCGACTGCTTCCTTCCGGCGGCGCGTGGCGGCGCGTGCGGCGGAGTCTGGCGGCGATCTCGACGGC